GTGTGTGTGTGTGTGTGTGTGTGTGGCCAGCTCAGCCCACCAGGGGGTGGGGCTGGCTGGCATGTGTTGCTGGGGGATTAGAACTGCGGTCCCTGCTTTGCCAAGCTTTTTCCAAGTAGGTGCTTTAGACCACTGAGCCATCTCTCCAGTCCCATAAATGGAATAAGGACTTTTTTTTTTTGCTCCTTGAATGCCTTCAGGGCACTTTTGCATGGCTGGAGTGTTGTGGGGATTGAACTACAGCAAACTGAGTCTGCCAGCATTGTGGAAGCAGCCACTTAAAGAACGGAGCTAGAGCTAGGCCCCCTATCTTGATACTTTCCCCCATTTCCCTCGCCTCCCTTCAACCCTTCTTCCACTCCTTCTTTACAAAAGCTTTGTTTGCAGTTTTCTTCCTTTTTTTTTTTCCGTTGCTCTTCCCTTAATCTCCCTCCCTTGTTCTCCTTCCCATTTGAATATTTTCTTCTTCTCAATATTGATCATCCATTTTAACACTTCTAGTTTCTCACACAAGAGAAATAGGTGATACTTAAAGATGTACTTTAGTTATTTTACTTCAGAGTATGGTCCTAAGGTACATCTATTTGCCTAATAATGTCTCAAGTTTGTCCTTTTTATGGCAGAATAATAGACTTGTATGTGAAAATTACATTTCTTTTTCCATTCATCTGTTGATGGGCATCTGGACTGTTTCCGAGATTTAGCTGTTAACAAAGTGTGCTGCTATCAGTGTGGGTCTGCGTATGTTGCTGTGCTACGATGCTTTTAACTTTTTCAGAAAGATAGCTGAAGGGGAATAGCTAGGTCAAATGAAACCTCTAATTTTATTTTTTTTGAGGACTCTACATACTGATTTTCAAAGTGTTAATACTAATTTACGCTCCCACCAACAATGAAGAAGCATTCTTTTTCCCAAAGCTTGCCACTATTGGAGGGGGATGGGGAAATTGAGACTTCTATTCTAGTTGCACTATGTATCCAGGCTGGCCTTGAGTTGACTGTGCAGCCCAGGCTGTCCTCAGACATGCTGCAATATTCCTGCCTTAGTCTCCTGAGTGCTGGGCTTATAGGTATATGTCGCCATGTCTGATTCACCAGCATTTGTTACTGGTTGATTTTTTTTTTTTTTTTTCCCCCTGTTTTGGTTGGTTGGGACAGGGTCTCACTATGTAGTTCAGGCAGGCCTGGACTCACTATGTAACCTAGGGGACTTATACTCTAGTGATCCTCCTGCCTCAGCCTTCTGTAGCACTAGGATTAAAGGTGTACACCACCACACCTAGAGATCAATTCCTTGTTTTTCTTTTTCTTTCTTTTCTTTTTTTTTTTTCGGCAGAACCGGAGATTGAACTCAGGCCCTTGCACTTGCCGGGGAAGCCTTTAGTCGATTGAGCCATCTCCCCGGCCCTCAATTCCTTATTGATAGCCACTCTTTCTGGAATGAAAGTAAATCTTTTTGGACTTTTAAAAAATATTTTCAGTCATTTGTTACTTAAAAGTAACTGTAGTGAAGTATATTTTATATATGATAGTATTCACCTACTTTCAAGTGGTTTTTTCTTTTTGGTGTGGTAAATTTATCAATTTGTATAACCATCACCATCACATATAAAACCTTTCTATCACCCAGTGAGATCTCTCGTGTCCATCTGCCCACTTACAATGAATCCTGTTTTCATCCCCAGACAACTTTCCAGTCTCCTTTCTCTCTGTACAGGTTTGTGTTTTCTGGACAAATGAAATCATAGAGTGTGATCTTATGCTTGTTTCTTTCACATGTGAATTATTTTTTGACATTGATCTATATTGTAGCAGTGAAGAATACTTGATTACTTTCTATAGTTGAGTATATATATGTATGTAAGGTGTGAATGAAAAATAATGGAGTTTAAATTCTTTTAAAAAGGTATTACAAAGACATTACCATTAATCCTCCTGAAAATAGTCCCTTTTGAGTCAGACTTTTGCCATTGATCTTGCCACTTTATGAAAAAGCTCTAGAACTTCTTGTCTTCACTTGTACTGGGGTAGCTTCCTTGAATGTATTGAATCAACTCAAAATATTTACCTTTCATAGTCACTTTGACTTTGGAGGGTATCCAGACTGAATTGCACAGGGCCAGAGCCCATGAATTAAGTGAATGAAGACACACCATAATGTTTTTACAAGAGCCTGCCTTTCCATTGGCTGGCACTTAGCATTCACCTTGTTTGTCTTTTTGAGAGAGGGTTTTTCACTGTGCATTTCAGGTTGGCCTTGCACTCACTTTGTAGCCTAGTCCTCCTGACTCAACCTCCCAAGTGCTGGGATTACAGGCATGTGCCACTACTCCTAGCTTCACCATGGTTTTAAATTTCATTGGTTCATTATGCAGAGAAGACTTCCAGAACTGCTTCAGAAAGTGGCAAGACTGATAGGATAAGTGTGGTTAAAACAAGGGGAATTGTCCTGGGGGAGATCAATGGCAATATGTCTGTTGTTGTAATTTTTAAAAATGTAAACACAAAGCCTCATGTGCTGGTGCATACCTATAATCCCAGGTGTGCACTGCGGCTGGGATTGCTGCAAGTTCAAGGCCAGCTTGGGCTGCATATGAATTCAGGACCAGTCTGCACTGCATAACAAGACCCTCAAAAAAAGGAAAAGAAAAAAAGTCAGCACCATATTTTCCTTGCATGTCCATAATGAATGATATTTCACTTTTTGCTAATCACTACTGCTATTATGAACCATTGCATGTACATCTGTGAACGTTTTCTTTTTTGCGGGGGGGTGAATACCTAGGAGTGAAGATGCTTGGTGGGTGGTAAATTTTTAAATCATTTCTTTTTTCACAAGTTCAACTTTTGATTCCCTTTTAAGTCACTTGTTACAAGTTGAAAACAAGCTGGGCATAGTGGTACATACCTATTCTCCTAGCACTGAGGCAGGAGATTCACAAGCTTGAGACCAGTCTGAATGCATAGTGAGAACTTATCTCAAAAACCCAAAAAATCCAAATGACAACTGGTTGAAAATAAATGTGGTTGAAAAAAAGAAAATGTAATTGAATAGTAAAATGTCAGGTATTTACTTTCCATCACAGTCTTTCTCAGTATGTGTTAGTACTGGGTTTTTTAAATACTGAGGACAATTGTGATTTGAGTTCTAGAAAGAAACTTAATTTATAAGCCAGAGCCTTTGCTTACAGATAAAAAAACCTCAGGTTTAGTAGTTAGATGGCTTGCCTCAGCATCACACGTTTAATTGTCAGACTGCCACTATTGCTTTACCCATAGTCCAGTGCACTTTCTGCAGCAATACACTGCCTCAGGCTGAGAAGAACAGAGGTCCTAATCTGATGGGGAACTGACTGGCAAGGGTTTTGCACTGCCACTTTCCCTTCATTTCTGGAGCATGTGGTCTCTGGCTCCATTCAAGCTTCCTATGTTCTGACTCATAACACTGAAAGAGTTGACATCACACTTAAGATTCCTAGGACTGTACAGAGTGTAACTGTATTAAATCATCAGTAAATATTAGCCATTTCGATTTTTGTGCCAAGTTAGCCTGTGAGGACAGTCCAAGACATCCAGTCCATCTGGAATTTAAAAAGCTAACTTTTAGGAATAGTAGTTGAAAGCATGACATTTGTTATTTGTTTGGACACATAATTGAATACATAGTATATGTTATTTGTTTTAACAGGAATAGTTTATAATTTTATCTTTTTTATATTTAGACTTGCTGAATGTGCACATTTATTTTGAAATCTACCATAATCTAGAAAGGCAAATGAAGCCAAGTAGGAGAGTTGAGATGAAACCTAAGGGTTAATATTTGCAGGACTGAAAATGAGGATATTTCCATGCCAGTGATTCTGGGGTTAATTATTGGAGATTTAGAAAAAGCAAATGTTACTACAGTAGTATTCTGATGCTAGTTGAGCACTATCCTGGAGAATAATATAACAACAAATAAGAGGTTAATTTTGTTTCATTTTCTAATCAGGTTACAGGAACCAAAGAAGGATCTGATCGCCCGAGTAGTAAGGATAATTGGGAACAAAAAGGCAATTGAACTTCTGATGGAAACTGCTGAAGTTGAACAAAATGGTGGCCTTTTTGTAATGGTAAGGCTGCTGCACCAGTTTGTTGTTCTTATATTATGTATATGTCTTTTTCTAAATATATCTATATATAGATATACTTTTTTAAAAGTGAATTTGCTTATGCTGGACCACTTATTTATTATTATAATTATTACCATGTGTTTCAGGCTTTTAGAAAACTACATGAATAATGAAGACTGAACCTAAAAGTCCAGTAGTGTGTCCCATCCATCCCCATAATGAAATACGAGCCCAGGGCCTTCACTCTGAGCTCTGTCTCCAGGCACACACCCTCCCCCACCCCCCAATTTTGAGACAGAGTCTTGCTGACTTAAAAATTTTAACATAGTCTAGAATGACCATAGCTGCTCAGATTTTGAGTGTATACATTTTAGAGTTCAATATACTAAATAACATTTATTAAGGTTTTTTTTTCCCTCCTTAAGAGTTTCCACTCAGCTACAAAATGAAAGTTAATTCTGTGATGTACAGATGCTCATGGAGTACTTAGCAGCCCGGCATGGTGGCACACTGCAGGCTGAGGGAGGAGGACTGAGTTCAAATCCAGCCTGGGTAACTTAGTGATGTAGTGGGATCTTATGTCGAAATAAGAGAGCTGAGGGTATTGCTCAGGCCTTGATTCCAAGGAAAAAATATGCTTAAGCTGAACATGGTGCCACATACCTGTGCTGTAGCACTGATGAGACTGAGGCAAGAGGATCATGACTAAAAGCCAGACTAAATTAGCAAGAGCCTTTCTCAGAAAGCCAGTTTCTTCCAACTTGTTAACAATTTGAAGCACAGATAAAAGATAGATACACTTTATCCATGTAGATTAAACTTTTATGCGTTGTAGGCATAAAAATGGGAAAAGGCTCCTGGAGTGAGAGAGCAGTGATGGAAACAGGTTGAGGGACACTGTTTACACAGGTTTCCTAGGGACAGAAGGGACTCTTCGACCAGATAGACTGCAGATCAGGATAGCTGTCTTCTCTGGTGGGTTTACAAATCCCTACCTGACACAGCTTTCAGAATAGAGTGAGGATAAGCATGACTGGCCTCCTCTCCCTTCGTACTCCTTTGTAATGTGCTGGTTATACCATAGTCACAGTACAAAACAGGAGAGCAGTGTTATGCTGTAGAAGTGGAAGACAAGTCAGCAGGTTAGAACTGGTAGCACTGGCTGCAGAAACTGCCTGTGAACATAAATTACTAAAATTAATAACAAAACAGAGTAATAATTAAGGATATTCTGATATCCCAGCTTGTATCACTAATAAAGTACTCTAATTTTCACTTAATTGAAAAAGATTCATTAATATTTTCTAATATTGTAGTTATAAAATTTTACATCATATGAGCTAATTAAATATACCAAATGTTGACAAGATACAATTCAGATTCATTTTTTTTAAAGTTTGTTTTTTGAAACGGTCTTACTATGCAGTTATGGCCAGACTTGAACTCACTGTGTATGCCAGGCTGGCCTCAGACTCATAGTAATCCTCCTGCTGCAGCCTCCCAAGTGCTGGGATTACAGATGTATATCACCAGGCCAAGTTTTTTTTTTTTTTTTAAAGATGATCTTGCTGTGTAGCTCAGGCTGGCCTAGAACTCGCCATCCTTCTTACTTCTACCTCCCAAGTACTAGAATTACAAGCATGTACCACAATGCCAGTCTCTGAATTATTATATACTGTTCCTTAAGTTCCTGAAAGCCTTAAAGGCATCTTCATTTTTCCTTTTTTATATTCTGAATTCATCAAGAAACCTCTTGGTTGCCATTCCTGTCCCCAGTGCTGCCCCTGTGGTCTAATTCACATTCTCTGTCACCTTGATTAGTGCGTCAACCTCTCAGCACAGCAGCTGGCAAAAAGTGCATATCTTACCTATCCAGCCCTACAGAGACCATCTTATTCATAGTAAAGCCCATATTTGTAAAGGTTTAAATCATGCCCCTTGAGCACCTGTCTCATATTGTCTTTCCCACTATACTTTCTACTTTCTCAAGACTGTGCTCCTGCCATGGTGGTCATGTGTTCCGTGTACCAGAAAGAGACATGGGGGGGGGGTGTCTTCCAAAGACAGGATTAGTTCCAGTCTTCATTTAATATTTTGCCCATTATTAGTGGAATTTTTGCATTAATTTTTATTTTTGAAAATGCTCTCTATCGTGATTGCTTATTTTTGGAATCTGAGGCAAATAATTTCTCCCTTCACTGTAGTTCTGCCATACCGGGTACTGTTCACTTCTGCCATGGCTGTTACATTGACCTGCTGTTCTTCATTCAGTACACATTGCCTTATCTTCCTCAAGGACTGGTGCATGTGTGTGTCCCTCTGGCCTCTTGTTTAATAGCAGAGTTCTCCTCCCCTTTGTTTCCTGTACCTTCATCTGATCTTTTTTTTTTTTTTTTTTCACATGGGATATAATACTATCTACTATATCTAAAGCTAACACATTTATTATTTACAAACTGTCGTCTTGTCACTCTCAGTTACAGCATGAGCTCTATGTTCTAGAAAAGTACCTGGCATATCAAGTACACAGCTCAATAAATAATTGTTCAAAGAATGTATCAATATCAAGAGAACATGAATTTAGCTGGGCATGGGCAGTACATGATTGTAATCCAGGCACTTGGGAGGTAGAGGCAGGGAAGTTCAAGGGTTTAAAGCCAGTCTGAGCCACGTAGGGAAAACCAGTCCAAAAAAATCACAGTAGCTTCACAGTCTCAATCTATTTATGGTGCAAAGATGTGTATAATGGATTAATGAAAAAACAGATCAGAGGACACTCTACATTAAAAATCGTGTTTGAGAGATAGAATAAAATATGTGAAGAAAAAGTTTTTAAAATGTTCTCAAGCCTGGGTGTGGTGGTACACACCTGTAATGATAGCTTCTTGGGAGGCTGAGGCAGGAGTATCCTAAGTTTGAGGCCAAACTGGGCAATTTTGTAAGACCCTTTCTCAAAATAAAAAGGGCTGGAGATGTAACTTATTAGTAGAGTACTTGCCTAGCATGTGCTAGGTTCTGTCCACAGTACCACAATTTTTTTTTTTTTTTTTTTTTTTAAAGGAACTGAGGCTTGAACTCAGGCCCTTGTGCTTGCCAGGCAAGCACTCATTCTACTGAGCCATCTCCCCAGCCCCAGTACTACAATTTAAAAAAAAAAAAAAAAGTTTGCAAGCTAAAATGTTTTTTGTGAAATGTATATATTTACTGAGGTTTTTTTTTTTTTTTTTATTAAAGACTCAGAAAAAAACCTCAGTTCAACATATTCACATATTTAAAAATCAAAAATACAAGAGATTGATGGGAAAGGAGAAGTAGGAGTTACTTATTTAAAAGAGGAATTAAAACTTTTAGAAAATCGTTTTGCAATGAAGTGAATAAAAATACTGTACACATAACACTGGTTCACGGGGCCAGGGAGATAGCTCAGTGGAATAAACACTTGCCTGGCAAGCGCAAGGGCCTGAGTTCAATCCCCAGTTCCACCAAAAAAACAAACAACAAAAAAAACAACAACAAAAAACCACTGGTTCATGTGGAGGCAGGGGATACAGCTGTTTTAGAGCACTTTTCTAACGTGTGAAGCCCTTAGTTGATCCCCAGCACTGCAAAAAAAAAAGGCAGGAGGTTAAGGTAGTGTAACTTTTGTTCTGTGTTTATTACCACAATAAAACAGTATGTAGTAAAAAGCAATCCTCCCACCCATCTCCCAGCTATTCAGGCTATTCCCACATGCTTACATAAATGGTAATATTTTATAACATTGTTCAGTACCTTCTTTTCCACATCATGTATCTTGGAGCAATTGAATATCAGTATATAAAAAGAATGTGTTTATTTTTTACAGGTGGCAATATGAAAATACCATAATTTCTTTCTTTTATATGTTTTTATATATACATAGACTCATTTATTGACTTTACATTTACACATTTGCCTACTTGTAGAATCAGTACTAGTTATGCTATTGTTTAGGGACATGCAGAGTGACAAAGAATCATCCAGTTTATACATTCCCACATAAAGCTGAATGGCACTCTCCAATGTGTCAGTTCTCATTGCATAAACAAGTATCCTTTTCAAAATCTCTATTAGTGTCATGACTTTCACACTTTTGTACTTTATTTTTCTGGTGATTTAGCTGTTTAAAATGGCCCCCTCCACAGTGGTCGTGCTGAAGTGCTGACTAGCATTTCTAAATGTAAGAAGACTGTGATGTGCTTTAGGGAGAAAATGTGTGTTAGGTAAGCTTCATTTAGGCATGACTAACTGCTGTTTGCTATGAGTTCAATGTTAATGAGTCTATCTGTATCTGTATTATTTAAAGTTATACTTTGATGGTGCTGGGCATTGAGTTCAGGGCCTTGTGTCTGAGCATGAAGTCTACCACTGAGCTACAGTCTCAGCCCCAAAAATCTATTTTAAATAAGATGTCTTTGTTTTGTTTTTATTTTTGGTTTGTTTTTTGCAATGCTGGAGATTGAACTTAATGGCACCTACCACTGAGCTACATCCCTAGCCCTTGTTTTAGTTTTTACTTTGAGAAAAGCCCTCTCTAAATTATTCAGGCTGGCCTTGAATTTAAAATCCTCCTGCATCAGTCTGTACTAGCTGGGTTTACAAGCATGTGCCATCATGCCTGACTAAATTTTTTTTTTTTTTTTGCGGAACCGGGGATTGAACTCAGACCCTTGTGCTTGCCAGGGAAGTGCTTATTCCACTGAGCCATTTCCCCAGCCCCTGACTAAATTTTAGAGTGTCTTTAAATAGGAATTCATATATGATGAAGTTACATATTGATCTTGTAATAGGTTTTAACCTGAGGCCTGCAAACTTAACCCTGTATTTCACTTAAAGCACTGTTCTGTGTTTACCAATTCAATTTTTTTTTTTAAATTTTATTTATTTGTGGGGTGGGGCCAGCTCAGCCCACCAGGGGGCGGGGCTGGCTGGCATGTGGTACTGGGGGATTGAACCGCGTTCCCTGTGCTTTGCTAAGCTTGTTCTAAGTAGGTGCTTTAGACCACTGAGCCATCTCACCAGCCCCACTAATTCAATTTTTACAACATTTTAGAACGTAACTGTGAGGTATAGTGAGAAGAGACTGTGAGTGCATATATCCTGTGATCTTGGATTCATTTGGAATAGGTCAGGGTACAAGATGTAAGGTGTGGACCTTACTCAGAATTTCCCCAGATGGCCCAGTAGCTCCTAGCAGGGCCAACTGTTGAATAGTCTGTTTTGTCTTCTTTAGTTTAAGCTATTCTGTTATACCATAGACTAAATTCTCATGTCAATTTGGTTTTATTTCTGAGTTTTCTATGCTGTTGACTAGTCATTTGTTTTATTTCATTATAACTTTTAATTATTGAGGCTTTATGACATATTTTAGTATCTGACAGAAGACTGGTACAGCTATAATCTCAGCACTCAGAAGGCTAAAGTAGGAGGGTAGCTGTAAGTTCCAAGCCACTCCTCCAGTTCAATCCCAGATATCAAAAAAAAAACCTTAAGCCAGCCTGAGACTGTATCACTAAAAAAAAAAAAAAAAAAAATCTAATATTACTGATCTGGCCAGATGGCAGACAAAATCAGAAAACCGGGATAGTTCTTCCATCTTCTTATATGTATGTCTCCTGAAATAGGGCTTGATCATTTATGGGAAGAATCTATGTGGTTGAGGGCCTGAGGATGTAGCTGCTGTAGAATACTTGGCTAGCATGCAAGAGGCCAGGGGTTCCATCCCCAGCACTGCCAAGGAGGAAAAACAATATTGATGTAGTTAATTATTCTATTCCTTTTTATAGAATGGTAGTCGAAGAAGAACACCAGGTGGAGTTTTTCTGAATCTCCTAAAAAACACTCCTAGTATCAGCGAAGAACAAATTAAGGTAATGATACTGACCTTGGCTTTTCAGATCCCTTTTGATTTGACTTTTGTAAAGCTTCAGGTATCATTTTATGATTGTCCTGGTTCCAGTTTGTTTGTTTGTTATATATATTTCAGGCTGACCTTGAACACACCATGTAACCTTAGAAAAAATGGTAAATTATCGCCGTCTGTGACAGTATTATAATGGGCTTTAAGAATGTAGATTTGAAGAGATAAATCAAGTCAGACTTTATACATCTACATCTTAGCTTTGTAATCTTCTGCCTCATTTTTTCCATCTGAAAACAAAGGTGATATACTACACCTACCTCATAAAATGTTTGTGAGCATGAAATTAGTTAATGTGTGTGAAAAGTACTTCTTGGCGTAGTTCCCGATGCCAAAAGTACTCAGTTACCTGTAGCTAACCTTATTGTCCTCTGTAGTGTCACCTTTATTCTGCTTCACCTTTTCTTCAGATGCACTGTCCTCCACCCCCAGTCCTCCCTCATTTCTTTGTCAGGTACTTTTACTTTCTCTTATCAAAACACTCATATTCCTCATACTCTGAAGCTTTCCCTTCTCAATCCCATGCCCTGCATATAGCTACTTAGCATACAAAGTAGGAGTAAGTCTCCTTTATCTCACCATCTGCAATAGTGCTTTTGATCTTTCTCAATTTTATTTTTCATTGTACATATTTACAGAGCATAATGATTATGTTGCTCATGGAGGATTGGTAAGTATATAAAACACATTTTACTTCCTTTGTTCATAACTTTTCCCTCCTCTCTCCATCTCTTGGTCCCTTTGCCTTGTGAAATGCTGCTGCATAGATCGCTTCATGAATGTGTTTCATCCTTGTGCAGGGGCCATCCCAATCTTCTGTGTATCATTACAGTGCTTTATCTGTGCTGCTGAAGCAAGCACCACAGTGCCTTTTTTTTTTTTTTTTTTTTTTTGCAGGACCGGGGATTGAACTCAGGCCCTTCCTTGCACTTGCCAGGGAAGCGCTTGTCTTACTGAGCCATCTCCCCGGCCCAGTGCCTTTTATAAACAGGAAGGGATTTGCACTTCTGTACTTTTTCAGAGTTCCTTTCCAGAAAATAATAGTTCAGAAATGTGTCCTGCCTTCTACCAGCCTCTTTTCTAAAACTTTATACCACATCTGTCTTACTATACCCAATGTGGCCCTTTTCTTTTTTAAGATTTAATGCTGTATGGGGCTGGTGAGATGGCTCAGTGGTCTAAAGCACCTACTCAGAACAAGCTTAGCAAAGCACAGGGACCACGGTTCAATCCCCCAGCACCACATGCCAGCCAGCCCCGCCCCCTGGTGGGCTGAGCTGGCCACACACAAATAAATAAATAAATAAATAATTTTTTTTTTAAAAAAAGATAAAAATTTCATTATGCTAATGCATACAAACATATTTAAAGGGGCCAGTGCAGTAACTCACCAGACTAAAGCACCTGCGTAGTAAAGCACAGGGACTGGGGTTTGATCCCCAGCACTACATGCCGTGCCAGCTCTGCCCCCAGGGTGGGCTGAGCCAGCCAGAGTCCAGACATAGTGGCACATGCCTATAATCCCAGCGCTGGGAGGCTGAAAACAAGATCACGAGTTCAAGCTGCATAGTAAGACTTTAACAACCAAATATGTTTTAAAAAAAAATTCAAAATAAAGTAGTTTTCATAAATACATATGAATAAAGATAGAGGGCCAGGCATGTAGCTCAGCAGGACAGTACCTGCCTGGCAAGCTCAAGATCATGAGTTTGATTCCCGGTACAAACAAATAAATATCACATCACAGAGGACCTTAAAACTTTAAGGAATTGTATTATAATAGGCACTGTGCCAAAAATATTACAAGTGAATTATTTCAATTGTAAGATACAGTTTGTATTCTATTTAAACTTTTCTAAGATACAGTTCAAAAGTTTCCCAACTCCATAACATAATACAAAATCCTGAATAAATTGCAAGCCATTTGAATTATTTAAATCAAGAGCAGTGGGACAAAAAGACATAATCTGATAATTAATAAAATCCACCTTGATTTTCCTCTTGTATCTTTTAGGAAACTTTTAACTATAGAGATAATGCATTAAGTACAGACCATAAATTTAACCTTAGGCTAGGTTTGACTTGTAGTTGCAGTCTTTACTTACAGTTGGTATTTACTTAGTGTCTTGGACTCTGAACCTAATATTTGCTTATTTTTGTAGGAAATGGGGATAATTGTAAAGAGCCTGCCTAATAACAAACTTTATAGGGGAGATGAATGGCTCAGTGGAATAAGTGCTTCCCTGGCAAGCGCAAGGGCCTGAGTTCAATCCCCGGTTCCGCCAAAAACCAACAAACTTCATGGTAGTTCTACTACAGTTATTCTATTTTTATTACAGGATATTTTCTACATTGAAAATCAAAAGGAATATGAAAATAAAAAAGCCGCTAGAAAGAGGAGAACACAAATATTGGGGAAAAAGATGAAACAAGCCATTAAAAGCCTGAATTTTCAAGAAGATGATGATACCTCACGGGAAACTTTTGCAAGTGATACTAACGAGGCCCTGGCCTCTCTTGATGAACCGCAGGAAGGTCATGGAGAAACCAAGTTGGACGTGGAGGAAGCTATTGAAGTTGATCATGCTCATGATCTGGACATCTTTTAAGTACATTTTGGATGTTTTGAGGAATAATCCTTTCTAAAGTAACATTGTAACAAACTGTTTCTACTGATATAGCTTTGTTTTACTTTGCACTGAAAAACATGAAAATCTGGTCTTGTTTTAAATAATATGTGGGGAAATGAATGCCCTTAATTTAAAGGTGGTTCATGTGTGACACAGTACTTAAAAGTATATGACAATGTTTAATTTCTTAGTTGCATGGCTAATACTAGTATTACTAGTTGTTAATCATTTTTTCTACATCATTATAATATGCCATTCAAAAGTTTAGTTTTTTTCTCTGTTACATCTTCAAGGTAAATTTTGCTTTGGTTTTAGAACATTCCAGCGGAAGGTCCTAAAGGGACACGCAGATTGTTACGCTGTTAGAAACGCATTTGGATTTGTGTTTTCTATACCTTATATTATAAATACCCTTAAGTAACTTTAAGGATAGAGACTAAAGGCATATACTTAACAGATCCTACCCAGTTACTTATTTGTCCAGTAATGAATGTCAGAAGCTTTTTGAAGAAGTATTGGTTTATAACTTTTTGATTTAACTGACTGCATAATAGATGATTCAACAGTTATAAACTGTACCTTTATTATAAACTAAACTTAAAATCTTTTAGTAGTTCCTGAGATCGTAGTCATTGAAGTTAGATCATGAAAAGAAAAATAGTTATTGGTTGCTTTTATTTATAAAGAATACAAAAATAAAACCTTTGCAGTCTTCCTGAGCTTTGGGTGGCTTTATTTACTTGTGCTTGGTGCTGTCCTACACCAGTGATGGCAAACCAGTTGGAGACCAAGTGCCAAACTGCAACCCGGAACCCACTTATTAACCGCAAAGTGCCAGCACTGCAGTTAAACCTGAATACTGACTGAGCTTTTAATTTTATAAAAACAGTTACCCACTTGGCTGTGGGGTAACTTAGCTCACGTGCTGACAGCACTGCATACCCTCTGCAGCATGCATGCCCTAGGTTTGCCACTGCTGCTAGGGCCTGATACACTGCAAAGCATGTGTTATGCTGTTGAGCTGTTCGCTGTCTGCAACTTGCTTTTCTCCTTGTGATGCCAGGGATTGAGCCCAGGGCCTTGAACATGCTAGGCAAGTGCCCAACTTTTAAAATCTCAAATATTGCTTAATATCACTTCTATAACCAAGGGAAGACACATTTTAAGTAAGTGCATGTTGTTCCTGTGTGGGTTCTAGTTTTGTTACTGAAGGTTGTATCCAAGGGTTATCACTCTGAGCTACATCCATAATCTGCTTTAGCTTTGATTTTGTTCTTTGGGCATTTTTTGGATGAGACAATCTTAAGTTGAATTTGGCCTTCCTCTTGCTTCAGCCTGCTGGGGAGTTGAGATTGCAGTCCTGTGCTACCACACCTGGCTCAGGTTACTTAGGAAAGGTGATTTATTTTTCCCTCTTGTGGTTAGAATGGTACCCCAGGTCATCTTACATATCACACATGTGCTTTGCCACTGAGCTCTGGTGGTTTTAAAGCAACATCACATTTAGAAAAGATAAACATGTAAGTATTACTACTTCCTTTAGTCCCCTTTTTAAAGGACACTAATTCCTGAGGCTACTTTATCATCATTCATATTGTCCCTTTTAAACTGGTAATAGTGACCCACACCAGTAAGCCCAGCTATTCAGGAGGCTAAGGTAGGAAGATTGCAAGTTCGAGAGCGGCCTGGGCAACTGTCTCAGAATAAAAAAAGTTGAATGTGTAGCTCAGTGCTTCCTGGATTCAATCTCTAACCATAGTAAGAGGGGAAAAAAGATTGCCTCTTTTGCCAATGTTCCTGGTTCAGTTTTGTCAGTTTTTTAACCTTTGAAACCATAGATTTCTGCCTTGTATCATATCCTATCGTATAGAAAGCAGTGCTTACGTTTTTAAGGTTCTTTTAATTTTTCATGTTTAAAATTACTTTTATTGATATTTGGGGCTGGGGAGATGGCTTAGTGGAATAAGTGCTTCCCTGGCAAGTGCAAGGGCCTGCGTTCAATCTCCGGTTCCACCAAAAAAAAAAAAAAAAAAATTACTTTTATCAGAGCCAGGCATGGTGGCACACACCTATAATCCCAGCACTTGGGAGACTGAGGTAGGAGTTGTGAGTTTGAGAACATCTTGGGCTACATAGTAAGTTCATGGCCAGCCTCAACTACATAGCAAGACCCTGTCTCAAAAAAAAAAAAAAAAAAAAAAGAATACCACTTGAAGAGACACTCATGGGGGCCTGCCCCTTAGCTCAGTTCTTTAAGTGGCTGCTTCAACAAAGCAGTCAGGCTCAGGTTGCTGTGGTTCGAGCCCCACAACTCAAGCCAGCCAAACCTGCCCTGAGGGCATTCAGAGCAAAAAAAAAAAAGATGCAAGTGAAATAAACCAGACACGCATGTGTAAATATCGTATAGTTTCCCTAGTATAAGAACTCAAAAAGAAGAAATACAAACAGAAAGGTATAATACAACTAAAAGGAAAGCAGGAACTTCAGGACTAAATAAGAGAGGGAAAGGAGAGCTAGGAAACATGACAATGACAAGCCATACAGTTGTATGTAGAAGATGGGTAAGGCAATGATCCTGAGAATCTTCAGAAGATTTTTTTTTTTTTGGTAGAACCGGGGATTGAATTCAGGCCTTTGCGCTTGCCAGGGAAGCGCTTATTCCACTGAGCCATCTCCCAGGCCCCTTCAGAAGAATTTTGAATCTAGCAGTTAATTGGAATGAGTCTCACCCTGACTACATATACTGACACCTGTAAACTAAGCAACCGCACTGAAGATGGCAATTTGTAATAGTAGGTTCATGCTTGGTGTGCCTGTCATTCTGGCCTTCTGAATACAGGCTGCTTGTCATGATATGCCAGTTGCTGCCGTGCTGTCTCTCGGGTAAATGATTGTTCAAAGAGAAGAGGGTGGTGAATGAAGGCAGGAGACAGGAAAAGGAATGTTGCAGGACTGTCCTGCTACAAGGTTGTATATGGTTAGATTTCTGGACTTAAGTGTAAACATAAGAATTATATAATTCTTTATGCCTATTTTCAAAATATATTTTAATTTTTTTCATCATATTCTGTAAGGACTTAAAGTTCAACATATCAATACTTGATAAATAAATACCTGTTCCATGTTATGCCTAAGACGTTTGATATTCAGACAGATAGTGAACTTAAGTTTAACAGCCTAGGTTATATGGTAATAACAATAAGCTTGTCTTCTGGATGGCTAACAACCTAAGTTTGCAGAACAAAATTAGAGAAAAATGAGGGCTGCTAGGAAAGCCAACATTTTGGCCCTAGCCTTCCAAGGTCAATTGAGACTCAGGACATATGAGAACTTGTACTGTAACATCATGTAACTCAGTAGTGTCCCAAATTTTCTGATCAAGGAGATTATGGGGCCAAAGAGGAAAGTGATCGACAATGTAGAGTGTGCCTACGGAGAGGCACATGGAGAGAAAACATTCTCTCAGGCTTTCACAGGGAGCACATTGGCCGAGCAATGGCCGTGCCTCATCCACATGGCTGACACTGACAAAGGTTCTACAATCTGAGCTACAGGATCTCAGGATAAATCCCGAGGGGATTTCACTGACCTTATCAGACCCAAAATCTACAACTCTTGTTGCATAGGTCCTGCTTTATCTTGATCTTAACCATCCAGCAGAAAAGTGTAAAAACGAAGTATAAGAAGTAAAGCCATGCTGTTATGTTGAGCTGTAGGGGAGTCAGGTCAACAATTTCTGACATTGCCAGTCAAGCAGAAGACCCAATACTATTATGGACTACTGAACTCAGAATATTTTGCTGAGTTAACACACCTATAATATTCAAATGATGGAACTAAACAAAAAACGGGATACAGATGAATGTCCATTTTGTATCTGTGTATTCAAAATGGTTAGGATAGATATATAATTACATTCTCTTAATGAATAGAGGGATTTGTTCTAATAGTGTTTGTAAATAGGATATCATGTCTGCATCTTGTACAGCAAATAACCACTAGGAAGAGAGTATGCAATGTGTTAATTCTTGAAACTGTCCTATGAGTTTGAGTTGAAACTGTCTCATTGCTATTTGTTTTTCAGTAAAATTATGAAAAAAAAAAAAAAAAAAGCAAGCAGGCATCGAAATACAAAAAAAAAAGAAAATATTTAAAAAGATTTCTTTTATTCACTATAGTAATAAGGTATCTTGTAATTAAGCTCAGTACTTGCAAAGGTGTGACAGGAGGATCACAGATTTGAGGCCAACCTGGACAATTTGGTGACATAATGAGACCCCATATCAAAAAAGGACTGGGATATAACTCAGTGCAAATTCCCTGAGTTCAAACCTTAGAATGTTAAAAAAAAAAATAAAAGTTTTATAGTTAGAATATTCTGGGGGCTGGGGAGATAGCTCTATAGAATAAGTGCTTGCCTTGCAAACGCAAGAGCCTGAGTTCAATCCCTGGTTCCGCAAAAAAAAAAAAAAAAAAAAAAAAAAAAAAAAATTCTGTAATATGACAGTGAAAGAAAATGGGTCAGATTGGTGTGTATGTGTGCAAATTTGATACTCAAAGTACATATTTAATAGGTGGTAAAGAGTAATGTGTAGTTTATAGAAAACACAATTTATATAGTACATAAAAAGGAAAATTAGCCAGAGGCAGAGAATGTTAATATGAAGTGCTTATTTGTGAACATTCAGTCAAACATTTTCTCTAGTATGTGCCAAATTTCCATTGTGCAACATTTTCATTTTTCAGTTGCTCACAACAAATAATTTTGTCAAGGGGAATTAAAAACTACTGAAGCCGGGTGTGGTGACGCACAACTCTTAATTCCAGCTCTTAGAGGCTGAGGCAGGAAGATCATTCCAAGTTTGAGATGAGCCTGGGCCACAAAGTGAGTTCAAGGCCATCCTGAACTACATAGCAAAATGCTGTCAAAAAGACTTACAATTTTTTTGAAGTTCTGAAAACAGGTATGAGCCCACTCTACTGCTAAGGTATTTGCTAAGGGTTGCTATGAAGTTAGAGATACATTGTTACATCAGAGACAGTTTCATCATTAGAACAGTGACTTGGATTCTAGATGTGAGTTCTATCAGTGCAGGCAGTAATGGCCTCTGAAAAAGATGCTTGTCCTGCCTTCCCTAAACTGTTCGACAACTGCCCTGTTGAGACTCCCCAGAAGCCTACCAATAAGTGAGGACCAAAAGGACTTGGGAGCAGCAGGGTTTTGTTGGGTTTTTTTGCAGTCTGGGAACTATGTAGAGTAACAGCTACTTAGCATCTGCAGGAAGCTTTATGTTCCAGAGGAAAATGTATGGGTGAGAAAAAGGTCTGACCAAGTGTAGTTTTATACGTTCAGAAGGCCGGTTAGCTGCTGCCTATTGGTGACTGGCCAGACAGAGATTTCCTTATACAAGGGATACATGATGGTGTCCTGCCTTGCCCTTGAAATCAGTCACCCCGACATGTGCAACTGCACACGGTGGGAGGTAAATAGCGCAGCTCCATCTTGGTGCTAGATGGGGATTGGTGTCACAGTTCTGGACACTAACGTGGGTGCGCAGTTGCTTCCCTGCCTGCTCGCTCACAGGTGTCCTTTCTCATCAGGTACCAAGACATTCATTTGCCACGGTTTTCACTAAGGCAAGGGATGATCCCAATGCGTTACGTCATGCCTTGGAAAGAAAACATGAGATTCAGGAATGTGAACCTGAAGGTATTTTCTCATAAATATCCATTATTTTAAAACTTGTATTATTTAATACAGTCTGAGCAGACACAAAAACTGCACTCTCAGAGAAATTTGCAAGTAATCCAAATAACACAAGTGCACTTTAGATCTGCCAAAGGAGTTTAAAGCCTTGACACCACGCTAACTTGTGTGACAAGCCTCCCAGGTGCTGGGATGGTAGGTGTGTGTTCCTACACCCAGCTATAGCTGTTCCATAAAATGCACATGTGAGCCTGGCCTGGTGGTACATGCTTTTAGTTCTAGCACTCGGCAAAGTCCAGCCTAGCTCCCTCACAACTTAGTGAGACCCTGTGATAAATGAAAAGGGATGGAGGTGTACTTTACTGTGAAGACCCTGGGTTCAATCCCTAGTACCTCCAAAAAAAAAGAACACAACATGCACAGCAGTGTTATACAGTACACGAAGCTGCATTTACCTCGGAATGATTTGTGCATGCACACACATGGGTTTGTGTCTGATTTGCATTTTGCTTTTTGAGATACGGTCTCACTATGTAGGTGGGGCTTGAATTCACTATGCAGCCAGTCTGGCCTTGAACTCATAAGGGTAATTCTGCCTCAGGCTCATGAACGTTGTGGTCACTGATGTTTGCCACCACACCCGGCATGCTGTTTTTATTTTTTCTGTGTGTGTCTGTGCTGCTGAGGATCAAACCCAGAACCTTGTAGGTACTTAGCAGGTGCTACAACTGAGCTGTATCTCCGGGCTTGGTCTTGTTCTTATTTTGGTTGTTTTTTGGTTTTGTGTTTGGGGATTGAACTCAGGACTTTGCACTTGCCTGGCACGTACTTATCCTGCTGAGCTATTTCCCCAGCTCTTTTCTTAATTTTTTTTTTGAACCAGAAATTACAAGTTTGAGCCCAGCCTGGACAGCTGAGTTACTTAGCAAGACACTGTCTCAAAATGTTAAGAAAGGGCTGGCTTAGTGTAAAGGCCTTGGGTTCAGTCTCCAGGGCTACAAAATGCATACATACATAAACATTTTAAAATAAAATATTCCTAACAATTTAAAAAATATTACTGACTAATGTGGAGAATATTCTACCTTGCAAAGTTACCATGGAAATTAAAGAATTAAATGAAGCGAGGGCTGGGGAGGTAGCTCGGCAGCCTTAAGTGCCTGCCTGGCATGTGCAAGGACCCAGGTTCAAGCCCCAGAACCCTCAGTGCACTTTGTCGGCCACTGAAACTGGGCATGGTGCTATGCTCCTGTAATCCCAGTGCTAGGGAGGCTGAGACAGGAGAGTCACTACGAGTCCAAACTGCATAGTGAGACCCTATACCAAATAAAGGATTTTTTAAAAATTGAAAAAATAAAGAAATAAATGAAGTGAATGTACCCACACTGAATAAATGCTGGTACATCCTAGCTTATATTCTTGTCTTCCACTTATCCTCACTGGTGTTACCATAAGAGGTAATGTTAAAAATTCATGTTCATATTTAGCAGCCATACAGTAACACAGTGCACTAGCAGTGGGCCCCACCCCATGGCCAACCAGAAGCTGCTCAGCAGTACTGAGCTCCCTTAAGTCAGGAGCCTCAAAGAGCAGCCACTGATTCATAACAGCAGAGTCTATCCCAAGTGAGTGCTTGAAATTGGCGGCACTCTCGCACCCGTGGGTGGGCTTTTGTTTCTTCTTTTTCTTTTTGCAGTGCTGTCAACGGAACCCAGGACCTCTCCTGCTTTGCCCTGGGCTACATCATGCAATGTACTCACTTACCTTTTGTTGAATGTTCAGAGAATCCTTCAGTATTCTTATTTGGTGAGAAAATCCCAAGTTGTGGAGGGAGTGGTGAGGGACTTGCCCGAGTCCACATATGCAGGGAGCTATAGTTCAGTAGTCTAACTCCAGATGTGTCTGTCACCTTCATAACTGAAATGAATACAGTACTTCGTAACACTGAGCACAGAATGTTGCTTTTATCCTAATGTCCATCAGACAGTAGCAGGTTATTTGGTTTTTGGGTTTTTTGGCAACATCTTTTGAAGCAGGGATTGAACTCAGGCCCTTGCACTTGCCAGGGAAGCACTAATTCTACTGAGCCATCTCCCGGGCCCCCTGTTGGCAAGTTCTTGCTATGTAGTCCTCAGACTTCCTGTGGAGCTCAGGCTGGCCTGGAACTCACCGTCCTCATCCCTCAGCCTTCCAAGTGCTGCAACTACAGGCATACACCACCACGCCTGGCTAAAAACTCCATCGTGATCTAACAAAAAATGATGTTTGATGTGATGTGGCATTGAGCTGAGGGTTTTTTTTTTTTTTTTTTAGCACGCAGAAGCATCTGGGATCTACACTGGCCCATTAGAAGATTCTCTGTTTCTGAGTTGCAGAGAAAGGCTTTGCCATGGGGAAGATCGTAAAATTGTCTTTAGGAAAAGCCCACCGGAGATAAAAATCATGGACATGCCTTTGCATTCACCCCTCTCCAGATACCAAAGCACTGTGATTTCCCATGGCTTCAGGAGGCGGCTGGTCTAATGACAGCAGAAGGCACTAAAGCTGGGCTCAGCCTACAGCTCAGCAGGAGAACACCTGTGTGATGTGTGAGAAACAGGCTCCATCCCAGCACCACAAAACAGATAAATTAAAAAGGAAGTGATAAAACTATTTCGGCCAATGTTCAAGTCCATAGTCCATTTGCATGTCACCTTTGAGTTCCTTTTGTGTAAAGATCCCCTAAGTCAGGAGCATTTATGCCTGGCAAGTGCAAGGGCCTGAGTTCAATCCCGGTTCTAAAAAAAAAAAAAAAAAAAAAAAAAAGGTTCCAAAGTCTTCTGAGATGAAGTGAGAGAGGAAGGAAAACCGCTCTCACTGATGCTAATTTCTCACAAAGCAGATGAAGCGCAGCAGTGGGGCCCGGCCTCTGCCTGACCCACCACATGGCCTTTCCCGCTCTGCCCACTCTGTCATCCAGCCCTGCCCGTACTTAGTTTCAGGCACGCACACCGGACACCAGGTTTCAGGCCCTGGAGTTATCTTTGCTAGTTTGCTGACTGCCCCACCACCCTTCTTTCTGACCCATGGCTTCCACACACAGCTCTAAAACCCTGCCCCACCATAATTAATCACCATGATAATCACAAATTTTGGCAGGGCTATCATACAACATTGACTTTAGCTGTGAGAGATGCACTGCCTGTGTTTATTCAGTGTATCAGTTTCCTACAGCACAGAAATGATTTACATAATTGAACAACATAAAAGGAACCTATGCAGAATGGCACAGCCACTATAGAAAAAAGTATGGTGGTTATTCAAGAAATTAAATCTAGTTTTGAGGAGATAGCTCAGAAGTCTAAGTGCCTGCCTGGCGAGCACAAGGACCCGGGTTTGATACCCAGTACCACATGCTGTGCCAGTCCGGGAATCCTGGCACAACAATCCCAGCACTGGGAAGGCTGAGACAGATCACTAGTCTTCCTAGTGATCTGAGCTACACTGCGAGACCCTGTACCAAATAAAAGTTTAAAAAAAAAAAAAAAGTATAAAATTACAATTCAGCAGTATCAGCCCTGAGTTATATACTCAAAAAAAAGCAGATGGGCTGGCGAGGTAGCTCAGTAGACTAAAGCACCTGCTGAGGCAAGATTAGGCAAGCACAGGGACCAAGTTCGATCCCTGGCACCACATGCTGCACCAACCCCACCCCCAGGGCAAGCTGAGCCAGCCAGAGTCTGGGCCTTGTGGCATAGTGATGTATCCCTGTAATCCAATTGCTGGGGAGGCTGAGAAACAGGAGGATCGCTGAGTCCGAGCTGCATAGTGAGACCCTGCAACAACCAAATATACTTAAAAGAAAAACGAGGGCTGGTGAGATGGCTCAGTGGTCTAAAGCACCTACTTAGAACAAGCTAAGCTAAGCAAAGCACAAGGACCGCGGTTCAATCTCCCAGCACCACATGCCAGCCAGCCCCACCCTCTGGTGAGCTGAACTGGCCACACACACACACACACACACACACACACACAAAATAATTAATTAATTTTTTTTTAAATTTTTTATTTATTTGTGCGTGTGTGTGTGTGTGTGTGTGTGTGTGTGTGTGTGTGTGTGTGTGGCCAGCTCAGCCCACCAGGGGGCGGGGCTGGCTGGCATGTGGTGCTGGGGGATTGAACGGTCGTCCCTGTGCTTTGCTAAGCTTGTTCTAAGTAGGTGCTTTAGACCACTGAGCCATCTCACCAGCCCAAATTAATTAATTAATTAATTTAAAAAAGAAAAAAATGAAAAGCAGAGACTTGAACAGATATTTGTATACCAGTGTTTATAGCAGCAGTATTCATAATAGTAAAGTAAGAACAGCCCAAATCTTATAAATTGCTGATGGCATAAACAAAATATGGGATATTATTCAACCATAAAAAGTATGCTAGAGTTTGGAGAAACACTGAAAGTATCACACTAAGTAAAATAATCCAGACACTCCATTTTTATACCTTGTAAAGGATGCAGTAGAAAACATAAACCAGGCAGAGGGCTCTGATCCGGAAGATGCTGTTGGCATCTTGCTCTTGGACTTTTCAGCCTCCAAAGCCATGAACTTGAGTGTCTGTCATTCGAGCGACCAGCCTGGGGCGCTTTCTTTGAGCCTGAGCACACCAAGGCAAGCATGCAGGGTGTGGATTCACACTGCCTCTTGGAGTCCATCTTTCTCGGCCTGAAGAACTGCTATGCTTCTTTAAAGGCACATCTGCTAGGAACAAATTGAGTGTCACTTCCCTGGGAAATTTGTCTTTCACAATTTTTTCGAAAGAAGTTCCAATGGATGTTGGGTTTTATTTTATTTATTTATTTTGCAGAACCAGGAATTGAACTCATACCCTTGCGCTTGTCAGGCAAGCACTTATTCTACTGAGCCATCTCCCTGGCCCTGGATGTTGGATTTTAGAGCACTTTGAATTCGTCATCACACTCTTTTGGCGGCTCTTTTTTTCTGCCAATCAGCACTTAATATTAACCCGTGTTCCCTTTGCAAGTGACTCATCACTTCTTGCTAATCCTTGTCTCTGACCTTTAGCATCTTTGTTATGAAGCTGTTTGTGGGCTTCCTTGTGTTTATGCTATTTGGAGTTCATTACACCTTAACAAGGACTTAGAGGCTCGACCCAAAGATACCCAATGAATAACTAAAAGGCAGATGTTGAGCCTCTTTACTGGTGCTTCTCAGCACAGCCATACTGGTTAGAGCCCCTTCGCATTTGTCTCCTTGGTAGCTGGTGTAGGAATGGTGACCCAGCCCAATCTGTTGGGACACTCAGAGCTGGGGCTTTTGCCAACCTGGGAATACTTCCTGGGTGTGTAGGCTATGTTTCTGGATACATTTAGCAAGCTTCAGCCATTGTGTGCTCACCTTTTCTCCTCTCCACACTTTCTCACAGGCATGCTGAGGCAATGAGACATTCTCCGACCCCTGGAGGGCCAATATCATATCTTCATGAATCTCTCAGGCTTCAGTCATTTCCACACCACTGCAAAACAGGCCAATTCCTGTGGAGAGAGAGTAGGGCTTACCTCCTGTATGGCCTATTTATCTTCCCCATACAAAACCCCTAGCTCTGGCTCTGGAGCTTGGAGTGAGGACAATGGCATGCTTCTTTCCAACCAACACTCCTACTGGGAGTCAGTGGAGGGGAGGACAGTGGACCAGTCATTGCAGCTTCCTCTCTGAACATGGACATACCTCTTGTGATCTGGCTGAGGGTCCCTGAGGCCTGGGTATTCTCAATAACTCTGTGCCTAAGATTGCACTTCTGTCCCATGGGATGGGACTGAGAGAAGAGGAACCTCCAACTCCTTGGCCACACTTGCCAAGAACTAACATTCTGCTCCTTGTGAAAGATAGCCCTCTGACTAGGGACTGAGAGAGGGAGTCCTCTATGCTTTTAAAAACAAAAGAAAAAATCGGGGGGGAGGGTAGCATATACCTTTTGTCCCTAGCACTCAAGATTGAGGCAGGAGGATCACTGCAAGTTCAAGACCAGCCTGGGGGCTGGGGAGATGACTCAGTGGAGTAAGCGCTTCCCTGGCAAGCGCAAGGGCCTGAGTTCAATCCCCGGTTCCGCAAAAAAAAAAAAAAAAAAAAAAAGACCAGCGTGGACTACAAAGTGAGCTCAAGGCTAGCTTGAATTGCATAACAAAACTTTATCTCAAAAAGATGAAAAAACAAAACAAAGGAACATGAAAAATTGTTGGGAAAGGGCCAGCCAAATAGCTCAGTGGATTAAAGTGCCTGCTTAGGCAGATACAGCATCGGGGTGTTTGATCCCAGGCATGCCATACTGGCCCTGACCCCGGTGCACACTGAGACATCAATTGAGACTGGGCATGGTCACACGTGCCTATAATCCCAGTGCTTGGGAGGCTGAAAACAGAAGAATCACTATGAGTTCGATCTGTATAGTGAGACCCTGTAGACTCTATAGACACTGTACTAAATAATTTAAAAAAAAATTGTTGGGAAAGACTCACGGGTGCTGGCCGCAAAGACACATGGACACTTAATGCTAACAAAGCGAGGGCTAGAGCAAAAGGCAGCCACACTGCCTTCGGTCTTTATTTTTATGTATATTGAGTCTTAGCCTTTAGGTCACTTTTGATTAACAAAACAAGCTCTTACATGTGTACCTAAGATCCATGAGAACCTGCTAGGCATCTGGGAGCAAGGACCTAAAAACAGGATGACCTTAAGGAGTTTCAGGCGTTCCTGGTGGCTCCCTCTGCTGTCTCAGTTCTGATTTTCTGTTCCTTTTCCCACAAGCCCTGCAGTTCATTCTGCACACCTCTATTTTAACTCCTCCTCATCCCAACAAAAATGGATCCCATAGCTGTTAGAGGGCACAAAGAAGACAAATCGCAGCTTAATTAGATTAATTAGAATTAGTGAAAAATCAAAGCACAAATAACATTTAAAAAACTTTACAGAAATGGTAGCAGAAAACTTTTCAAATATGAGGAAAGAATTTAATATACACATAACTGATGCAAATAAAATCCCAAATAACCACACATAGAAAAGAATATCTATTAGACATCATAGACAAAGTCCTCTAAGTACAGCACAAAGAAAGAGACTTAAAAGCCATTAGAGAAAAGCAACAAATCATTTATAAAGATTAACCCATTAGCAGATGTTCTGGACATGGTGACTCATGCCTGAAATCCCAACACTTGTGAGACTGAGGCAGGAGGATCCCCAGAGTTCAAGGATAGTCTGAAGTATACAGTGAGACTCTCTCTCTCAAAAAAAAAAAAAATCATTATAGTAAATTTATCAACACAAACTTTGAATCCCAGAAGAGCTTGGAGTGCAGTGTTTCAAGTTCTAAAAGAAAACAACTTCCTGAATAACTAATGTGAAGACAACAATATGCAATGTATTAATTACTGTAACTGTCCTACTAACTTGTTTTGAACCTGTTTCATTGCCATTTTTTCTCATTAAAATGAATTTTAAAAAAGAAAAAAAAAAGCAAAAAACCTTCCAAACCCAAATGATATATCAAAAAAAGAAACTTTCAAAATTATAGGAGAGGGGCTGGAGAGATGGCTCAG